ACAATGACTGCAAGAAACTTAGCTGATTCCATGGAAAGGTGGATGGACCTGGGATGGCCTTTTAGAGATGCCACCCGTGGAGGCAAGGGGGCTGCTCCTTTGAGCCCCTTGTGTGGACTGGTCCTTAGATGTGAGCTGTCCCCTGAGAAAATCTGTCCCCTTGAGTGTGTGCCAACTTCCCTGAGATGCAGACAATGCCTGGAAAAGGACCAGCCATTGGGGAAATGGGAATCAGGATCACCAAAGGGGTCAGCATCCAGTGAGAGCACACGACCAGGATAAATGGTGTGAGGATGGGATGCACATCCAGTGCTCAACATTTTTTTATCTTGGTTTTGTTTATGTGTCTGTGTTTCCCATAGAGGCTCAACCACAGGGACTGCAAATTCGTCCTCAATACGACAGTGGGTGCAGAGCAGGGACCCAACCAATGCTTCTTGAATGAAAGGTTCTAGAATTAGAGGGTCATAGAGTTCACGTGCATTCATGGGGGGTTGGTCAGTTCTATCATAATTCCTAAAAACGCTGGCAGGCTAAGATAGTCAGAGGTGGGAAGAGTCCTTAAATTGCATTTACTCTGCACTTACTGGGCAGAGTTTTTTGGTTCAGACAATGTTCCTTCTGTGCTTTCTCCCCAGACAGGCTCTTTGTTTACTTCCACGCACATGGCCTGGTCGTTAGCATTTGTTTAAATGTTCACGTAACTGAATACTCAGAGCAGGGCTGTTCGGCTGACCTGATGCTATTTCAGGGCATTATTTTTCTTCATCCGTACCTCACTTCTTTTGAGTATCGAGAGTTAAATAAGCATTACATGAGCTTATATCTATTTTTGCTGGATTACTCATTCATAAAGGCTGTCCACATTCTCCTATTAAATTTAGAAAATTGTCCTCTAATAAATGAGCCTCCTTGTTTTCCTTCTAGATAACGTGAAAGAGGATAATAAATTCAAGGAGAATCTAATGACTCTTTCCTATCATGGAAATGTTTCTCGATTGTAATTTTGATCTGCATAGCGAATACTGGACAATATAACTTAAAATGCAGTTACCAGGCTTCTTTTTCTTTTTTCTTTTTTTTTTCTTTTGGGTAGGAGTTGATTATGTTTGTTTGTTTGTTTGTTTGTTTGTTTTATTTAATGGAGGCACTGGGGATTGAACCCAGGACCTTGTGCATGCTAAGCACGCCCTCTACCCTGAGCTATATACCCTCCCCTACCAGGCTTCTTAAGGATGTGCCGTTACAAAATGAATCGTGTGAATTTTTAATCGTTCTAATATCACACCGTGCAACAAAATCATTGCACTTCTTCCATCAGTGTTTCAAAGCAACTGTTTTGCCCATCCATTATTTATTTACAGGTATACAGAGAAATACTTGCCAGTTAAAACCAAAGACTAGATCTTTGTTAAATTTCATAGGTATTTGGATCACATATATTAAATTCTTTGAGACCAATTATTTTTGTATATATGTGTGGGGGGGTGGGCATTCGCATCTATCTACAAACATTTTTAAATGTTGCAATAACTACATGGAGCCTTTAGCCAAGATTCCCACCCCTACCGAAATAAGAAGTCCAACAGAACAAGCATCATTCTGAACTGAGCCAGGGAGCTCACCAACAGCTAGACAGCTCAGATCCAATTTCTGAAGATTTATTGTTTTGCATTTGAGAAACTTGGACTGAAGGATTTTTTTTCCTTCAGCTCAGTTTTGGCCCTACACCCTTCCATCACTTCTGGATCACAAGATGTATCCAGTGTAGATGAAATATGGCCCAAATAGGCACGACTCAGGTCCCAGGAAGTTCATACTAGCTCTAAAAAGAAAGGAAAAGAAAAGAAGAAAGTGAGAGAGAGAGAGAGAGAGAGAGAGAGAGAGAGAGAGAGAGAGA